CCTAGAGATTCCTAAAGTGATCATGTTAATCAAATTGGTGAATAACCATAATTACAAAAGTTTAACCCACAAATGTGGAAGGCTGACTGTAATGCTAACACCTCTGTGAGGATTGTGAGCCTGGAACTAGATTTTTGCCAGATTACTTAATACAGTTTATGGGGATATGTTCATGGACAGGTGGAATCTTCCCCCTTCTTTATTATTCAAAGTTTTGCATATTCTGCAGTTCACCTTAGAATTAACTACAGGAATCAAGAATCATCATTCTGGCTATTCCAACTTGCATATTTTTGAAAGTTTATGGCCTTATTGTTGCAAAAGTTAGAATGAAAGTGTGTTTCCAACATTTAATGAAATCAAGATTCTGATATGGAGGACTTCATTTTGAATGATTACCAGTAGTCAAGAGCTGTGTAATTTTGTCTCTTTTCCAAATACGTAGAATGAAGAAATGCTTTGTCTTGATGTCTTCTGAAACTACTGATAAGCAATTTAATTGTGGGACTCCAAGTTTTAGCATGGGGAATATGGGAACATCCCCCCATCCCACTCTCTATGTCCCTATTCAAAGGTAAGTTCAGATAATTGTGAGATATCTGCTGCTCTTCTTGATCAGGTTATTTAGATGTTTTTTCTACAGTTCCCTTGTCCCACAATCCCATTTTTCCTTTGCAGGTCTGGTCAAAGTCCTAAATTATAAACTGCCCCGAGTCGTCTAAGGGCTGAGAAGAGTGGTATATAAATATAGTAAATAAATAAATAATAGTAAATAAATAATTATGCCAGGGCAGACCATTATGATAAGATTGTGTGTTATTTATTTATTTACTGCTTAGTTATATTACTATCCCTCTTTTTCACCAGTGAACTAGGAGGAGCTCCCGGTGGTGCAGTGGGTTAAACCCCTGTGCTGACAGGACTGAAGACCGACATGTCACAGGTTCGAATCCGGGGAGAGCATGGATGAGCTCCCTCTATCAGCTCCAGCTACCCATGAAGATGTTAAAACGTCAAAACATCCGGGCATCTCTTGGGCAACGTCCTTGTAGACGACCAATTCTCTCACACCAGAAGCGACTTGCAGTTTCTCAAACAAACAAACCAGCGAACTCAAGGGAGAATGCCATGCTTTCGCCTACTTTATCTGTACAACAACTGAGTGAGGTACGTAAGTTAGATAGTGTTGACCTGAACCTGGTTTTCCCAATACACTAACCATGTATAGCAGTTTTTACAAGACACTAATAATAATACCATATTAGTTTTATATCTTTTGATGACTTGGATAAGGGTCCTGTCCGACCCTTGGATGGGATAGCTCTAGTGTTATGGAAGGTTTAAGGGCATCCCAACTTGGAAAGGTTATCTTTTTAGACTACAGCTACAAGGGTCCTCCAAACCAAGAGCCATGCAGGGCCATTATGAAACTTACAATAAAAAAAAACTTTTTGATGCTGTGACCAAACGTTAGAAGCATCTCCAACTAATTTGATGGTGAGGATACTGTTGGTGCTGTTGTGAGTCTGGAAGGGGATTCAGTTTACTAGGGGACCTTTCAAATTGTTAAAAATTGGAAGAGGAAAGAGAACTGCTGATGAAGTGCACTGTCTCCCAAAGTATCCTCTAGGTAAACAGCTCTTGCAGATTTAGATAGTACAGACAGCCCCCAAGTTACGAACAAGATAAGTTCTGTAGGTTTCTTCTGAAGTTGAATTTGTATGTAAGTCAGACTAGGTCCAGTTTAAAAGTGGAACTCCAGCCTATCTATATCTATATCTATATCTATATCTATATCTATATCTATATCTATATCTATATCTATATCTATATCTATATCTATATCTATATCTATATCATCTATATCTATCTATATCATATTATTTGGATACAACAGAGAAGGTTAACACCTCTGTTGTGCTTGTTTTACTGCCTGTGCCCCTGTTCAGGAGATTTCATCTCACTTTCTGTCCCTGTGAGAACTGGATTCTGAAAAATTTGGCTTGTTGTGAAAACAAGGCTTGGTGATAAAGCTTCAGTTGAGACACCTTTTCCCCATGATAACCCTTTCAGGAGTGGATTTCCCTTCCGAAGGGTAGATTTCTCTCACTTCCTGATGTTTCATTCCTGTTCTTAACTATGAGTGTTTGTAAGTGGATTTTTGTAACTCATGATACTTCCAAAAACTCCAGTGACTCATCTGATGAGATGCTAAAATAGAAGAGCAACAAAAACAAGCAGTTTCTTGTGAATCATACAAGACTGACCAAAGGCATGTTACTGTCTAAAGCAAAGAACAAAACACACTCCTCCACCCCATTCCATGTACAAAAACTGACTATACTGTTAACTGGATCTCTTTAAACATGGCAATGGGAGACAATACTCCTCTGCATCTGAAGGCAACATGCACATCTCTAGTAAACTAGGAGGTATAGAAGGGCTTAAATACCCTAAAAATGCACCAACTCTTGGAAGCTAAGCAGGGTCAGTCTTGGTTGGTGCCTGGAAGGGCGATCATCAACCAACACCAGGTGCTGTAGACTATAGTTTGGGTGAAGGACTTTTCAAAACCATCTCTAAACAGTCCTTGCCTATAAGTAAACTCTTTGAAACTCTTGAGGTCTCCATAAACTGATAAACTTGAAGGTAAATGCACACATTGACAGAAGATCCTATGAGACAGAACTCTTTCCTTCAGCTGTTTTGCTGCTGCATTCTAGAGGTTACTTGTAGACACCTTTGCTGCTTACTTGCCTGCTGGCCCTGTAACTGTTCTCTAGCCAGCACATTTCAAACTTGAACATGGCTGTCCATGTCTGTTTAGTAGATTTTGAACTGGAGGTTGTTTCTGACAGTATTTCTTCTTCTCCTCGGCTCCCTCCTACACACACACACACACACAGACATGTATGTGGATGTGCCAGTGCACACATTCAATCAGAACACTCCTGTTTGCTTGGCTCTTGGGCTTGAGCTACCACCAGTCCTATTTAACGAGGCTGCCCTAAGCGCCCGTGGCTTTTGTATCCAATTCAAGGTAATTTCCTTCCCAGCCTGCTCTACGAATCCCAGGAGGCCGAAGGTGCAAAGCCTCAATCCAAACAGATACAGCAGCTGCTTGACCTTTCCCAAATTGCAATGGCCCCTCATGCCCAGGTAGGTGTTTGCAGCATAATGAACCTTCCTGTACCACTACCCTGCCCCCATCGCCTTTGGGCAACAAAATAGTCCGGTACTTATATTCCTAACCTCAAAATCAAAGCAAAATGTTTTAATGTCCTGAAACAAAGAGCAGAAGAGGGGCAAGTGGAGCTCATCTACATAAACATGGGGTTGTTGTCAAGAACAGGCTGTTATGGGTGGTGAAATTTGCTGTATGGAATATCACAGGGCTAGAAGCTTGATCATCAAAAATATTTTCCTATTGGGTTCCCCAGTCAGGAAATAGGACTCCTGGAGGCAACAAGATAAAAGAGAGGGACTGAATTATCCGTTTTTGGGATTTAAAGTTGTCTCCATTGTATTTAATACTGGAACTTAGTATCCACTGGAGTTTGATTCTAGGACCGTGGATATCAAAATTTGTGGATGCTCAAATATCACTACATACAATAGCATAGTAAAAAAGTGTCCCTTGTAGAAAACAACAAAATACAAGTATGTTTTTGGGATTAAAGAAATATTTTCAAGATGTGGATGGTTTGATTCATGGATGCAGAGATGCAGAGATCAAACTATGTCCCCCATATTTTGGAGGGGTGAATTCTAGCAAGGCCCATTCTACAAATCTGTAGGAGATTTGTAGAATGGTTGAAATTGTTCATGATTTCACCAAAAGACATACCTTCCCACCCTGTGGCAGGACTTTGAACACAATCTCACTGCCCGAATCTGCAGCCTACTTGTTGTTTCTTGTTGCAGAATAGATGCAGAATTTTATGTAGCACTGATGTTGTTGGGGTTTGTTTTGGAAAGTTGGTTTGGTTCCTTTAAAATAAATTTATATAAAGATGGTGACTGAATGAATAAGTACGGGCAATAATTAAAATCATGACAGGCAATCATGGGAAGCAGGGGACACATGACTTTTTGTTTATTTTGCAAGTTTTGTTAATTATACTGAAGAAAATGAGACTAAATATTGGCCTCACCCCATGACTGAGAGGGATGAAGTTAGTTCTCTGGATTGACTGAAAGAGGTCAGATTGTGTTCTCAGTAGTAAATGGCGACTGATTTAAGGGCAGAAGACACTGAGTGACTAAAGGCCCTTCATAGGTTGTTAAACTGGAATACCATACTGGATAGGGCTGGTGGCAGCAGCAGTAGCTGGTGGCTCCCATGTCAGAATACAGTCCGCATTTTCATCTTAGCTTTAATTGAGCTCTCCAAGGTCCTGAATCTATTTCAGGGATATGGTTCAACACCCTGGATAGCTCCTTTAGAGTTAAGGCTAAGACCTGGAACTTGGTCTA